GACATGAACTTTTTACAATAGCAGTGTGAATTTTAAGAAAAGCTGAGTCTCCAGGGAGGGGTCCAAGTGGCTAACTGGGTGTAAAATTAATAATAGATCCAGATAACCATTTCCTGGTTGTGGGATCACATATAGGCTCCGTGTTCCTGTAGGTATCACATGTTAAATTTTGCAGCTCTTATCAGGGCATCTTCTTGTCCCAACAACCCAGGAAAAAAGCACTTTTCCCAAAACTCCTTAATCTAATTTTGCTGCTAGGACATATATAACGAACTAAGACCTATAGTCAAATGTAAATGTCAACCAATCAAGAATGTATCCTTACATTCCAGCTTTACATAAAACCAATCAAGACTGAACACACTTGGATCCCTCACTTGCATGAGCATGCTGTTTTGGAGGACATGTCATTTTTAGTCAAGGATACTTCTTTCTGGTGTGTAAACTAGTTTTGAAAAACAAATTTCACCTTAAATTCTTTCTTAGTGAATCTTTGTTGAATCAGAAACCACTAAGTTTGTTGTCATCAAAATATATATTTAATTATTCAAAAACAATTTCAGTGTTATTAGCATATTTTGAAGGCTAATACTCATTAAGAGAATTTTAATATTCCCCAACGTTTTAAATAAAAGTATGTTGACATATATTGTTATGGTTAGCTATAAAATGCCCCCAAATTTTCATGCATATAAAAGGTGACTGAATCATGGGGTGCTATACTCATTAGCAGACTCACCCATTAAAAAATTCAATAGGTGAATATGCTGACAGGAAGGGGGCCTACATGGAAGTGAATCACTTGGGGTGTTACCTAGAAGGGTGTGTTTGCTCTCTGCTTCTTGGCTACCATGGCTTAAGCACCCTTTCCTCTGTCATGTTCCTGTCATCCTGTTCTTGCCTGGGAGCCAGCCAGACACAGAATAAACTGTAAGCCAAAATAAACCTGTTCTCCTTTTAAGATGTGGGTATAAGGTACTGTCAGCAATGGGAAAGACATCCATTTTATGTTTTTATAAATATATACTCAAATTTGATAAATTCTTAATATACCTTTTTTAATACTTAAGTCATTAATGTCAGTAGAACATAAAATAAAAGTCTATCATGACAGCAATTTTTTCTAAATGACAGAAAAGTATGGATGGCTGGGAATACAGCCCAGCGGCACAGTGCCTACCTGGTAATATTTGATTGGTTGGTACCCACCCTATCCCCCAAAAAGAAAAGAAAAAGTATGGAATATAGTTATTCATAGAGCAATGTGCAAATTATTGTAGATCTTTGTAACTCAAAATTCAACAGCTCATTATCAAATATTCATAAGTACATTCATTCATCTTAGGTATTTTGACAATTGTCACATAAAAATAGCTTTACACATATTTTTCTATTTTTATTGCAGTAATAGTATCTAAAAAACTAGAGATTGAGGCACGTAAACCTTACTTAGAATATATTATAGAAATCTCTATACTCTTTCACTAGGGCCAAGAGATGCTAGACCTGACCATTGTCATTTTTTAAAAAATGAACTGTGTGCTCACAACTAAAACACTTGGAAGACATGCACTTTACACAATGCCCTGGAACACGACATACAGCAAAAAATTTCTAGTCTAATTTTGCAACGAGTTGTCAACAAAGAAAACCGGAAAAAGAATTAGGCTTACAGGCAGTTTTCCAGTTTAACTGAAAAGAAAACCAATAATCTAGTACACTCACCCACAAGGTTGCACAAATATTGCTAACACCAGAAGAGCAGCACCTCTACCTGCCAGGATACCAAAACAAAACAAAACACAAGCCAAACATGCAGCAAAGGGATAGGCTAACTACAGAAACAAAAGAAGTGCACTCCTTCCCCATAGCCAGTTAGAAACATATGGGGCGATGATGCACACGCAGCAGCACAGCCTTCACTGACGACCAGGCACTACATAGCCCTGACGGACCGACGGGCATCCTGCTGGTCTCCCTGGATACCGCTGGCAGAGCAACCGACCCGTCCCTGCTGTGTCCACACGACACTCACAATCTGGACACAGCCACACAGCGAGGATGGCTGCAGCGGGGAGGACACGCTGCTCTTCGTCCTCCTGCCCGCCCGCCAACTGCCTTCTCCCATGATTTCCCGCCCTCACCCTCTCTCACCCACCACTTCCCACCCTCACCCGCCACTTCCCACCCTCACCCGCTCTCACCTGCCATTTCTCGTCATCTCCCGTCCTCACCCGCCATTTCCCGCCCTCACCCGCCATCTCCCGTCATCTCCCGCCATCTCCCGCCCACGCCCACTCTCACCCGCCATCTCCCGCCCACACCCACTCTCACCCGCCATTTCCCACCCTCACCCGCCATCTCCCGCTCTCACCCGCCATTTCCCGCCCTCACCCGCCATTTCCGGCCATCTCCCGCCCTCTCCATTTCCGGCCGTCACCCGCCACCTGCTGCCCCCTGCCCCGTGAGAGGCGCGAGGCCAACCCTGCACAGCCACACCCACCCACCCCGCGGGGTACGAAGGTGCCCAACCGCCGCTGCCTCGACCATTACCGCAATGGCCTCTTCAACGGTCTCCTCAACGGCCACTTCAGAGGTCTGAGGCCGCCCTACCCGTCAGTTCCAAAACCTGACTCACACGGCAGTCTCCATACCTGTGTCCCGCCGTCACTTGGAAGAGCCCACTGGGGCACTCAGCTCAGCCACCCAGCTAAAAGGACTCCCCTCAGGTAACTCGCAGAAGCACCCACCTCCGCTGCCCGCTGGGCGTCGAGTGAGTTTCCTCCGTCTGAGCCGTGGAGCTTCTCCCGGAAGGAGACGGGCGGGAAGCGCTCTTCCAATCAGCGTCATGTCCAGTACCCGGCACAGCCAATTAGCGCCACCGGCCAGTCAGGCCCCGCCTCCTCATGCTGCGCAGGCGCTGCGTTGCCACGTGGGTCCCGCCCCCTCCCGGGACTGCGCCGACTGGCAGAGCAGTGCAACGCGGACGCTGCGTGAGCGGCCGGCATGGGGGTAGCTGGCTGTGTGTGCAGGGGCAGATGCGGGAATCCACTGAGCTTCTGAACGGTCAGAGCAGAGCCCTGGTTTTGGCGGCCTCTGGGCGACCCCTTGTCCCCCGAGAACACTAGCTTGCACAGCCACTCCTCCGGGCTCCCCGTTGTGCGGATGGGCAGCGCAGGCCCGTGCAGCCGGTGTCTGGTGACGGTGACCCTGCCCTTGTAACAGAGAAACCGTGGCCGCCAAGCAAGTGTAAACCCCATATAGGTGCCACCAAATCAAAATTTACGTGACATACTAATAATCTATGTAAAAGGCAACATTTGTATGAAACTATTGGACCACCGTGGGCTGAGGGGTGTCGCTCGGCGGTAGCGCACGTGTGTAGCATTGATTGGGACCAAGTTCTGCGTGCAGACCTCTCACCCCTAAGAGGAATATATGATTTAAATGTGAAGTGGTAAAAAGCACTTAGGAAAATAAAGGGAATGAAACTCCATTAGGAGGCTAAAGCAGATCAAATCACATGGAATACCAATTTACAAGAACTTAAATGAAAAATATTGGTTAGCTAGTTACACACTTCTTGAACATTGCAACTACTTTAACTTAAATTTTGAGATTTTAATGTTTAAATTCAGTTTACAAGCTACAGGAGCAGTCTACAGAGATTTGGGTAGTTTATTTAAATTTTTAAAGTGGTTTAAACATTAACTGCTAGTGAATAGCGCAACATGAGATCACAGGTGCTTCAGACTCATGTTCTGACAGATTTCTGCAATAATCAGATTGTTTCCTCCATTAAGCTTAGGATCCTGGATTAAAGCGCCTGTAAGCAGCTGCAGGGGCTGGGGGTTTGACCCCCCGGGCCTGCCATGCCGGCCCTGCCCCTGGAGCTCTCTGAGATACCAACTGAGACTGGGCCTTGTGGCGCACCTGTAATCCCAGCTCTTGGGAGGCTGTAAACAGGCGGACCACTATGAGTCTGATCTAGTAGTGAGACCCTGAATGCCCTGTAGACCCTTCCCTAAAATACAAAAAATAGAATTTTAGCATCCTTCATAAGGTTGGGAATTTTACTAAGATGTTTCAAATGACAAACAGTGACTTCTCATTTTGCCACTTTTTAATAGAAATAAAAAGTGTTACGACCTTTTTGGTTATGGAACATATTTACAAAGCCAGGGATTATTTAGTAAACATTACTAAATTACAACTTTTGGGAGAAAAAAAGTGTTCCACTCATTTTTAATGCTGAGTTATTTTAAACGTTTCAGAATACTGTGTTTGAAAGAAAATCTTACCAATAATTATTTGAATTTGGCTTTCAATTAAAATCCAGTGCCAAGAATTTAGCCAAGGGCCTCATGAATTCTAAACAAATGTTCTATACCCCAGCACTTTTCAGTTAAATTTCACAGGCATACAACAAACAGAAATAGTTTGGCACAGGGTTGTTTGAATTCTGAAATTGCCTACCACCTGTGGGTCATAAGATGAATTACTTAAATCTCTGAGCTTCCTTCTCTTAAGAAAATGGGGGTGTCATAAGAAGGTAGCATACTTTCCACAAGTAATACAAATCAAATACATAAAGCACAGTACAGTAAATGCTTCCTTCCCTCGCACTTCGCACAAGGCTTCCGACCTGACCGAGGGTCACAGCTCGGGAAGGGTTGGAAAGCCAAGCACACGCTAGTTATTCCACACCCAAGAGTCATGGAACGCTGTTAGAGAAGTGCAGTGATCATGACCCTGGCTTTTTCCTCAAGCTGTCTTCATATATGTGACCTGACACAGTCTTACAGTTTCTCAAAGACATATACACTCTACTACTGACTGAGGCAGAATCATACAATTTGTTGTTCTGAACAGGCTTATGTGTGGAGTTAGACTTATGTGTGAAGTGATTCAGTCAAGTTTCTAAAATGTCTGTAAAAATTGTACCACAAAAACAGACCACACTTTTAAATAAAGTACACAGTTTAATACTTAGGCTTGAGTAAAATTATTTTAAATGACAGATATTAAATATATTTCAAGAGATAACCCAGCTATTGCACATTCCACTATAAAATCTTAAACATTCAAGCAAAATAACTATCCACCTTTCAAGGACTGGAAATTTTCCTTGTTCTTAGAGCTTCTAACCAACCAGGTGAATCTATTTAAGCTTTAAAATTTCAAAGTGTTGGTATTTTTTCAAAGGCACCTTGAGGTTCATTTAATTTTGAAGATAGAGCATTCATATCTATGGCCAAAACTACGACTAGAACCTCTCTGGCAAGAGACTTTTCACCGGATGATGGAATTCTCTCCATGTCATAAAACAATACAGTTGGCAGCACGAATAGGCACCTAAGCAGTCTGGACAGTTGTCTTGGAAGCCGGGCTGAGGCCAAAGGCAGTGCTGCCCAGGCCTTCACAGGCTTGCTGACCTAATTGGACAGTTTGTGAGCAGCAGGAAATGTAACCAGGTTTCTCTCTCTCTTGCATGTCAATGTAATACGCAGCCCACATGGCCAAAGGCTGTGCAATTTAGGCACAGTATGTGAAATCAAATTTCAGTTATTCACGCATTAAAAGGTATCACAGAAAGCCATGCCCATTCTTCTAATGTGAAAAACGCAAAGGTCACAACGATCCAAAAACTGGTTAAAAGGCAAAATGCATCTTTTGATACAGATGGGACAAACACCAACAAGTACTAAACCATCTCAGTGGCAAAGGGCAGCACAAAATCCACCATGGGCGTCAGTTCTATCACAAACCCTCACCACACCTTAGAGGACCTGTGCACCTGGGCTGGCTGGCTGTGCCTCAGGCCTAGCACCTGCTGCTGGAGGAGGCCAGGGTGGTGGTTTTTAAGGTACCGTGATGCACAGCTGGGGACAGCAGCTTTGACTCCCTGGCGGGGGCTTTAACACATTAACATTTTAAAACTGGGAAACAAGTCCAGAAAATGCTAGAAATTTTCCTCTCTGAAGGCACAAAGAATAACATTGGCAGGTAGCTGATAAGACCTGACGTATGTAAATACAATTTAAAACAATCCAGAGTATAAAATTTGTGATTTTTTTCCTCCAGTGCTCTGACTAATGCTGAAAATACCATCTAGTTCCACTTTGTAACTGGATTTCTGAACAATGAATGCTGGAATCTCTGATATTGAAGAAAAACTTAAAAATCACCTTAATCATCAAAAAGGTAATTGCAAAGGGAACTGTTGACTGAAACCCTAGAGCCACCTGAAAATTTAAATAACTTAAGGCAAGATTCTTAAAATATTTAAGTAGTTGAAAACCTCAACAGAATGGCCTGGGAATATACACACTCACTTCTTAAACACGTGCAAGAACACTACATGCGAAGACCAAAGGGTGTAGAAAGGTTTGACTAGTTAAAAAATTTGGATTTTCCTCTTTCCCGGTTGTCGATGTAGCAGGCACACAGCCCAGCCATAGCAGCTTCAAAGCCCAGAAATGGCTCTGTGATGAGTGATGGGGAATGAATTTCTTGCCTATTAATAGTTTCCACTGTTAGAAGGCTACGGCCACTGGCAAGCCAAGGTAGTCTCAGGTTTGCCTTGTTCCGGGGCTGGAATGCCTGGAGGACTGCAATGCAGGTTGCCCTGCAAATTTTGTTTACAACAGTAATGAACGCGGGCAACCGGGCTTTTCAGATGCTTACTAAATCCAGAATACTCCTGAAAAGGCAACCACTATGATGCATAATAATCAGCAACAGCTTCATTTACAGAGACAGATTTAGGACACATGCAAAAAACTTCCCCGGCAGGAGGTGGCTTAAAAGAAAAACCCAACCAAAACACAGCCTGGGTGCTTCCCAGAAAGGCCAACATTCCCACATACCCACCTAGTCCCAGCACAGAGACTCCAACCTACTCGGCCTTTTGGCCACCCAAGGGCCCTATCTAGACCAGGTGAGTGAGCCACTTCACACAGACGTCAGGACAGGACTGGACCCTGCCAGGGGTCCTCACAGCAGGAAAGAAGTCAGACAACTCCAGGAAGGTGTGGAAGGAGGAAGCGTCAGAGGTAGGGGTGAGCACCCAGTTGGGAAGCGACTGCAGGTCGCTGGACCTATCCACCATTCAGATGAAGTGGATCCAGCTCTCTTCGCACTCCCCGCGGGGCATGTGCAACGCGTGGTTGCGACACGTGAGGCTGTAATCGCGGCCACCATTGTTATCCCAGTACTCAGCACCAGACACTTGGTAGCGCACGGCAAAATGCACCTGTGAGCCGAGTTCCAGAAGGAAGGGCGGCACCGGGAAACCGAAGGCAAAGACATCCTCGCTGCCCTGGGCACCCGCAGGCCCGCGCCACCGCGCCTGCACCTCGTGTGCACTGCGCCACTCCGAGAAGGTGTAGCGCACTGTAACCTGCTTCTCGAAGGCCACGTTACACACGCGCACCACGCCGCTGACGCCCAGGTCGGAGCAGGTGACTCGCTCCAGACACACCAGCTGCCGCCCCAGGCGCTCGCCGAAGTCACAGGCCTCCACTGGCGGCGGGAAGTCGGGCACCAGGCACTGCAGGGCGAACTCCACGTCCTGGCTGCTGCAGCACAGGTCTGAGTTGATGGCGAGCCGCGACAGCACGTGCAGCGGCACCGAGGGGTCGTCGCCCGCGTTGAACACCTTGACCTGCGCCAGCTCCAGGCCCAGGGCGTCGGCGAAGCGCACGCGAAGTTGCCGGTTGCAGCCTGGCCGACAGGCAGCCCCCTGCGCGCCCGCCGCCTTCTGCCTCCGCTCCGGGGAGCTGGGCAGTGAGCGCGCCCGGCGCAGGATGATGGGCCGCAGCTGGGGGTCGCAGCCCGACGGCTGGGGCGCAGGGGCCTGGCTCGCGGGGGGGCGACAGGTCCGGGACTCAGAGGTCGCACCGCCGTCCAGGTCGGAGAGGCAGCTGAGGCTGCGGGGTGCAGGTTTCCGGGGCCCCAGGGCAGGGGGCCAGAGCGCAGAGCCCAGGCCTCCTCCGGACATGGCCCGCGGCGAGCGAGGCGTGCCGGACGTGCGGCGCTGGAGGCAGAGCAGAGGGCCCGCCCGAGGGATCCCCGCCTGCTTCCTCGGTGTCCCCAGCTGCGCCGGGCAGCTGCCGCCTGCGGGAGACCCCGGGAGCCCGCTTCGCGCTCCCCGGGCCCGCCCCCTGGCCGGTGAGTCCTCCCCTAAATCCTCCGCCTGTCGCAGCGATGCAAGTACCAGTTTCCAGAAACCAGGCGCTTTCGCCAGGGGAGCTGGCCGGGGGCACCCCGGGAGCGCAAGGTGGCGCCTCCTCTACTCGGGGATAGCTTACGGGAAGGCTGAGTCGCCGAGGCGGTCCCTCCCACCCCGCGAGGCTCGGGGTTACTTACGCGGCTGCAGGCGGACTGGGCGCGAC